GGCAGCATTGCACAAAACAGCTCTTTTTGATATTTGAATGGATTGAGATGTTTATTTGGAGGTGTTTTAGATTTAACGGGCTGTGGGCTGGCACGGCCTGTTATTTTTGCCGTGCCTCACGGGCCAAACGGCACGAAAAAAATGGCCAGTGTCCGTGCTCGGCGAAGGCCCTGAGTGCCCATGAGCCGATGCGACGCGGCCCGCAGGGCACGGCGTGCCTCCATGGCCCGGTAGCCATCGTGGTGGTGCCGCCCGTGACTGGCAGCACGAGCGGATCAGCGCAGGGCATCGGGCCGCTGATGCCCAGGTATGGTGCTGGCCTTCTGGACGTTGGACCGGTCAGCGCTTGCTGCTTTGTGCTGGAAGCCTGGAAAGCATCGTATGGTACCTGATCCAGTGATCCTTCTTCCACACTTTGGCAACCAGGACGGGCATAAGGAGTAATCATGAAAAAAAAATTCTCATGAGAGAAACCATCGTTTTTTTCTCTCCCTGAATACTCCTCCGTCTAAAAAACTATCACTTTCCAAAGAATATAAAACAATCTTAAATTTAACTGAATATATACAAAAAAAGTAAAAATACTTATGATACGTGCTAATAAGTATCACTAGATTAAGGATATGATATTTTTTATAATAACTTATTTGAAGATACAAATACTAATGCTATTTCTATAAATCTGATCAAACATAGAATTACTTGCCTCCTTGGGAAGCTGGAATTCATTTTATTCTAGAACAAAGGGAGTATAAAATGTTTATCTTTATATATACATCTGAAAATACTATAACGTCGTTGTCTACCTGGTGATACCAAGTCTTGATTTCGTGTTTTCATGTCCAATATGAATCATCATCCACTCAAAGCTCATGCGTCCGTGTCCTACCCAGTTCCGATTCGAAGATTGGATTGACGTTTTCGTGTATGATACAAAGTACTCGAAGATCATGCATCTGTGTCCGTTTACTGAGATCATTATCAATTTTTATTATTTTCTACAAATCCGTTGCCGTTGGCGTGGATAAAAATCCGTGGCTCTAGTACGACGCACGGGCATATTATCTAGTATAAAAGTAAAAGAAGAGGAAACTATCAATTGCTACAGCGATACTTACACCGTCATTACATACACATACACAGAACATAATCTTTCACATAAAAAATTACACAAAACAAAGCAAGAGAGCAGCAGCCCAGAAGGATCGTCAACTCAGCGAGTCAGCAGAATACAGCAATGCCCAGCCCATATATTATCTCGGCACAGCCCATCTATCAGAATACCCGAAAGAAGAGCCCACGCCTCTCTTGGTTCTGCTGCTGCACGGGCCAAGCAATTCTTTGAGTTCACAATCCAAGATGACCCGTCCATACTCCATACTCGCAAGATACGGCCCATGCAGTGTATTTATCTTTTGCTTCTTCTTTTTTTTAAGCAGTCGTTCGGCTGGCTGGCCAGCTGGGGCTGGGTTGGCCAACGCTCTCATAGCGGCACGGTTCACATGAATAGTGTTTTTAGATAGAATAGTATTTTTTTCTCACACCAATCAGTCGGAATAGTATTTTAGCTTATTTTTCAGTCCTGCCGAACAGACCGGAAGCCTCTCATCTGTATCTTTTCCTTTTCAAATCAAAGAGACAGAAAAAAAAAACTAAAAAGTGCATTTCCGCCATAGTAGGGTTATTATTGGACGCATAGTCCCTACTCCCTAGAATGAATGAGGTCATTGGATCCACGGGAGACGACAGACGAGACCACGGCCTTGCACAAGGAGAGCACATTGCTATTTGTCCGCCTGTCCCCCATGGCATGGGATCGCCTTCGCAAACAACTCTCACTGCCCTGGTGGTAATCCATCGGCTCCTCCGTTCAGAAGCCGCAAAATTCGCAGCTCTTTTCTCCGCGCCTGCTTATGCTAGGCCGCGCTTCCAAACGGAGGATGCTTCACTTCACCGGCTACTGGTACTGACTACTGAGACACTCGCCTACTTCACGAGGGGTACCTGTTCGCTCGTCATTTCTGTGGTTTATAAATCGGCTGATGCTGTTTTGTTGTAAAAAAAAAACATTATATCATAGTTAATAAACCTGGCTGATACGACCGAGCGAACAGGGAGTCTTCCAACAACCACGTCCACACGCATGCCGTACAATTTTGCTGAGCTGATACTGTGACTCTAGTGGGCAGTGGCAGACTGCCATGCTGGAGCCGGAGTAGGAGTGCCCGCCCTTGACATGATTATCTATTCAAGAGCTCCGAATCAAGGACCGACAATGATCAATGATGCGCGTTTGATTTCCTCCCTAGCTATCCCCTCCCTACAACGTGGCCTCCCAGCTCCAGATCTACGATCTCGTGGAGGCAGCTGTGACTGCCTGTGCTTGTGATTGCCCCCGTCTGACCAAGGACACTTTGGCAAGCAACTCCGTCATGCTTTGTAGTGGAAGGCCATCACATTCACACTCACGGATGCTCATGTCATGCTCCTCCAAGTCGCTGCCTGCCTGCCTGCCTGCCTTTACAGAGCCGTCTCTGCACCTGCTCACGGCATCTTCTAAACGGAGGCTACCGTGCTCGCTGCTCATGCCTACAGAAAACAAATTTCGTCCAACTTTAAGCCACGAAGAGACAAGAGGGAACGGGCAACCACCGAACCACGTCCACATGTACTCACTGCTGGCAGCTCAGCGCTACGCTCTCACGTGAGCTCCAGCAGTACGTATTCATACTAGTACTCCAGTTGCCATACCTGTCACCCTGTCAGTATCTATACTACTGCCATACTACGGTCCATAGTACCTCACTGCTCACTGCACAAAACGCAGTAGGGAGCGGATACAGTTTCTGACATTCTGCTCACCAAACCACTCTGTAACAATGGTCCTCATCAACCATAGGTTGGCTGACTCAGATCGACCAGCATGTTCGGTTAGCTGATTCGTATCGTTGCTGGTTTGTGAAGAAGTACTACTGGCTGATTTGTGTGAGAGAAAAATACTGTTCCGGCTGAAAATTTACGATCGTTTACGACAAGCCACAGCCAAACGAACAGGCTGTAGAAAACCAGACAGGTCTCTCAGCTCCTCGCTACGGTTTTTTCCATATCCCATCGAATATTTGACACATGCATTGAGTATTAAATATAGACTAAAAATAACTAATTGCACAGTTTGCGACTAATTTGCGAGATGATTCTTTTAAACCTAATTAGTTCATGATTTGATAATGTGGTGCCACAGTAACATATATGCTAATGACGGATTAATTAGACTTAATAAATTCGTCTTGCAGATTACTGACAAATTCTGTAATTTATTTTTTTATTAGTATCCAAACAATCCATGCGACACCTTCATGCGACACCCAATATGACAAACTAAAACTTTACCCCCTAAATTTAAAGAAGGCCTCAATCTCAATCCATAACGTGGCCAACCTCTCCATCCATCCATCAAGCCTCCAAGAAAAATCACGGTGGCAGGGGAAGGCACTCAGCTCAGGTAGTGCATGGTGCCAACGAATGATCAAAGGCACCGAAAAAGAGGTTAGGACAGCGGGGCGCCCTGGGTAATTTCGCAAGAAACAACCAACAGCTTTACCATGTTCTGTGAGGATTTTTTTTAACACTTTTTAACACTATTTTTAAATCTAACACGTCTTAACTCGTTGACATGGCGCAACTTAGAAAAATTATATCTTTTTCATACGATTTTGAATGAAGATGATCTTTATATGAAAATTGTAACGCTCGACGAGGTCTACAACTTTCTAGGGTTTTGAGGTTTTTCATTTAAAGTCGTTAAGATGCTCGAAAAAAATAATATACAGTTTCAACATCGTATTAATCGCGTACAAGTGTTTGTCGTCTTGGAAAGTCGTATCTTTCTTATATGATGTCAAATGGAGATACTTTCTATACAAAAGTTGTAGCTCTCGACGAGATCTACAACTTTCTAGTTTTGAGTTTTTGCATTTGAGATCGTTAAAATGCTCAATCTTTCAACCATAGGCTGGCTCTGGCTCAGATCAACCAGAAAACCAGACAGGTCTCTCAATCCACAACGTGGCCAGCCTCTCCCATCCATCAAGCAAGCCTCCAAGAAAAATCACGGTGGCAGGGGAAGGTACTCAGCTCAGGTAGTACATGGTGCCAACGAATGATTAAAGGCACCGAAAAAGCGGTTAGGACAGCGGGGCGCCCGGGGTAATTTCGCAAAAAAACAATCGACAGCTTTACCATGTTCTGTGACTTCTATCCAGAATCCAGATCTGCTTCCACGTGGGGGTAAAGGACCAAAGAAGCTGCCTGCCTGCCTCTGCCTGGAGCCCTGGATGAAGTTTCGCCTGCGACTTCACTGGGTGGAGACGAACGATTCTGGGTTCTGATCTGTCCGGGTTGTCATTTTACAATCACGTGCGTTTGTGTGTTGTGATCGCGAGGGAGAGGACCAACAATGCATCATCTTCTACTGAGTAGTGAGTACCGACAAGGTAGGTACACTAATGGAAGCAGACAATACCCACCATGGTGACTGCATGCTCTGATGAGTCTAGAATAATTCAGAAGTGGACCAATGTTTGTGCCTCTGTGGACCTCCTGCATGCTCTTACTGGTTAGGAGCAGCACGAGACACACAGATCAGCTCAGTTAACAATGATTCACAAATATCTTGTTGCAGTTACGAAGAAGAAATGTACGTAGTATGTAGACGCTGATCCTTGAGCTAACTGCAGTCTGTAGAAGAAGCGTGGCAAACCATTTACTGAACTCTTGAGCTATATCAGATACAGAGTACAAAGAACAACAAACATAATCTAATTCTCCTGAAAAAAGGATCAAGCTCAAAGTGAAAGCAACGCTCAGCTAACTTAACTATATAGATCAAAGCACACTTACTGGATCAATTAAGCTGAGACGCTCCGATATCTATCTATAACGGACTTATTAATTTCTATGCAGTAACTAATAACGAAATCTATTCGCATCTGCACACCAAATCAAACGCAAATCTCGCGTTTCCGCTTCAGGGGAAGCAAGCTCTTGGCCGCCGCCTTCTTCTTCTCAGGCTGCTGCTGCTTCTTGAGCGCCGCCGCCGCCTCCTGAGCCTTGGCGCGGCGCCAGCCGAGGTGCGCCGCCAGGTCCTCCACCTCCACCTTCACCACGTCCTTCCTCACCCCGATGTCGGTGACGTACCTGCCGGCGCAGTACACGCCCGCGGTGACGGCGGCCATGCCGAGCGGGCCGGCGGCCAGGAGCTTGAACGGGGTGGAGAAGAGCGCGGCCAGCGGCACGCCGACGGCCGACGCGGCCTGCCCGCTCCTCCCGATCATCCCGATTCCGGTCCCGCCGTCGCCGTCTCCTCCCGCGGCCGGGAGGAGCCCCGTCTTGCAGTAGAGCGCGAAGTCCTCGCAGTTGTTCTCGAACACGTCGTAGTCGCCGAAGCCGTTCTGGAGGAGGTGCATGGCCCGGCGCACGGCGGCGTCCGAGGGGTCGGTGCGCGCGGTGGTGCAGGTTCCCCCACGGAGCTTGGCGAGGAACGCGGCGGCGGGGACGCCGTACTCGAAGCGGTGCAGCGCGCCGCCGCGGAGGAAGCAGTCGAGGCAGGTCAGCACCACGCCGCTGTCGGGGAGCTGGAAGCCGCAGTCCGGGAAGGTCGGGCACTCGTCGGAGCCCCCCTGCGAGAGGAGGAGGCTCGACACGGCGATGGCCGAGTCCAGGCCGGCCGTGCCCGCCTCCTTCTTCCGCGTGAAGTGCACCACCTTGCTGCCGCCGACGTAGATCCCTGGATGAATGGTCGATGGATCCATGCAATGCAACACCTCGCGTCAGAACATGGCACGAATAGCCCCGTACAACATGATGGCAACTCCATCATCATCATCATCATCCAATAATCCAATTCACGAGTAACACCAAACTAATGAATGCATTATCATGGTTTAATTTAATAATGGTCAGGCGACAATGATACGCATGTTGAGATGCAAAATTGGATCTCAAATAATCATCGACATTATTGCCGAATCAAAAAGATTTACGGGCAAGCTAGCTAGGTATGAAAGGGGCAAGAAAACACTATCCATGCATGTGGAGAAGTACCCCATGCTTGCCGGCATGCCATTCCCCACACATGCCAGCGATGATCGGATGTGTGGGAAGGACGTCCATAATGCGCGGGACAAAACGTCGGTCCTATTGCAGTAGCAGCGCAGAGTGACGGTATGTGGAAGAGAGACCTTTACGCTTTCGGATGCAGCAGTTCATTTGGCAGCAGCGATCGTAAATTTCCAAATTGAAAGCGGTATTTTTGTCTCACAAACCAACCAAAGCGATCTTCTTTCTGAAAGAATTAAACGAACCAGCCAACCGAATATGCTGCAAATCAATGGTCGGTGAGGTGAGGATAGATGCAAAGCGAAAGAGCCATGCATGCATGGTGTGTGTGTGTGTAACTCTCTCAGCTGGAGCCTAGACAAATGCACGGAGGGTAGGCATCGCAAGGAACAAAGTCGAAAAGCATGTATCTTTGTTGGTCACCGGATCTCTGATGACGACGACGACGAAGTTACTAAAAAGATGGTGATAAGGATTCTTTGGTGATCTGGAATCGTCACTGGACGTCTGGCACATCTGATCCGTGAGTAAGTTCATTAGTACTCCTACTACGAGCTAGCAGCAGCTGCAGAAATCCAAAGTCCAAGTCCAAGCTATTGTAACGAAAAATAGGAAAGGGCGGAGTGGTGACCACGAGCAGAGTGTTTTCTGTACGGATGCTGGATGAGAACATTTGGATGGACGGATTCTGGCTGTGCGGAGCGGCGTATCGTACCACCGACACAGGTGCGGCTGAGCAGTTAGTACGAATCAGCAGTTGCAGTGACTCCATTCAGCAGCAGGCCAGTACGTACGCGGCAGTTACAGTGCTGCTGCCTTGAGCACACCTTAATTCGATTGAACTGGGGCTTGGGTGATACGGCATTGTGGCTTCTGGCCTCCTACCCAGCCATACGCGTGCGTACGAACAGAAGTTACTGCTAGGAGTAACTTTGCGATGGCCACTGCACAAATTAAGCAAGCGAACGGATAACAATGCGACTCCAGGCTAGTTGAGGCTCATTGGGTCGAGAGTTGAGTCTACGAGCACGTAAAAGCAGAGCAGCTACACTGAATCACGCGCGCATGGGCTGACTGGCAGCGTTCTGCCTGGGCGCCGGGGAAGTGCAGAACCAAACCAACCACCGCGGAAACCAGAATCCTCCGCGAACGCCAAACTTTCTCGCTTCCGAGTTGGGTTCCAACGACCCACCCGGAAAACGAGAATGCGGAACGCGACGGCGGCATGAGCGCGCATATAGCTGTAACCGAAAGGAACGAGCGCAATTCAGGCGTCCCCCGCGGCCGGAATGGGAAGGCGAGATGGAGAGACTGGAGACCAGAGGAGGAGGAGGAGGAGCGCGTCGTACCGTGGTGGGAGTAGGTGTAGCCGGCGCGCCAGGTGTAGATGTGGTCGCCGGGCTTCATCTCCGACCGCTCCATCCGGTGAGACAGCAGCCCCATCGTCGTCGTCCTCGTCCTCTCCCCTCAGGCGGTCAGGTCAGGCCTGGGTCTTCCCGGCTTCTTCTTCCTCCTGCACCGGCCTGGGCACAGAGGCCGGCGAGCGGGGGAGATCTTCAGTCTGCAGCGTCGCGTTACGCTGTCACATCATATCACATGGAGAGGCGGAGGGAGCCCGACCACCGTGACGCGAGAGTGAGAAGGTGAAGCGAGGATGTCGTGGTCCGCTGGTGAGTCGTCAGCGTGAGCAACGGAAGGAGCTGTTGGGCTTCCTTCAAGTGGTAGCGATCCTGCTGGGGTATCTTCTGGTTAGTTTATCTTCTGGACCGAGGTCTGTCGTGGTCCGCTGGTTAGTTTATCTTCTGGACCGAGGTCTGTCTCGGCATGTGCCTGCAGTGCAGCGTGATCTGCCATGCAGCGCTCGGGATTAGCGTCTGATATTCGAAGGTGATGTGTGTACACCATGCCACTAGTATTTTTAGGCTGTGTTTAGTTGGACAGAAAGTTGGAATTTGAGTATCGTAGCACTTTCATTTTTATTTGGCAAATAGTGTTCAATCATAGACTAATTAGCCTCAAAACGTTCGTCTCGCGATTTCCAACCAAACTGTGCAATTAGTTTTTTTTTCGTCTACATTTACTGTTTCATGCACGTATCGCAAGATTCGATGTAATGGGTACTGTAGCAATTTTTTGGAAGTATTTTTGGAACTGAACACGCGCTTACTCACCCGTTCCGGGATTTGTGTCTGATCGGGGAAGCTGATGCGTACCCCCTGATGGGCTGTTAGGTCAACTAGAGTAGTTCTAGTGGGTTTATTTTACTATTGTAAGTATGTCCTTGTTTAGTTGTCTAAAGTTGACGCCGCTGGAGTCGCTGTAGCGTACTGTAGCATTTCGTTTGTATTTGGTAATAATTGTCTAATCGTTGACTAATTAGGCCCAAAACGTTCGTCTCGCAAAGTACAACCAAACTGTGCAATTAGTTTTTGATTTCGTCAACATTTAGTACTCCATGCATGTACCGCAAGTTTGATGTGACGGGGAATCTTCTTTTTGCATAGTGCCAAAGTTTGGATTTTTTGGTAACTAAACACACCCTATACAAGCTATGGAAAAACTGAGAAGACTTGGAGAGAGAATGAGTAGAGGGCCATACCTTCGGGCTTGGCAGAGTAGACGTCATGGCAGCAGGTACGCAGTGCGGGCGGTGAAGTCCGGCGCGGTGGTGGCCATGTAGAGGCGATGGTGAAGTCGTTGGCGGCTTTCCGTCGCTGACAGCACGCTCTCTTTAGATCGGGTGAGGGTTGCTCTGTAGGAGGGTTGCGGCGGCTCAGGTCAACCTCGTTCCGTGTGCCCCGGCCCTCGCCTCCCTTTTATGGTGCTGTGCGACGGGGGCCCACCAACCATGGAGCGGTTAGGCGCCCCAGATCAGGGCGCGGATCCAAGGGCCCAATTGGTCGTTGGTGGAGATCAAACTAACATTCTCCCCCTTATCTCACCTTATTTCTTAAACTTAACTTACTTTATCTTGTTCCAATTCCATCACAAATCAGTGCCTCATCGTCACGGTCTGTTGCCATTAGATTAAACAGTTACAACGCACCTCTCTGTTTTGAAACAGATACTCGACTAGGCCCTTAGTATCCAGAAATCATAAGCTTTTCCATAAACCCATGTCGACTGTGTGTTCTCTGAACGCATTGGATGATTAGCCTTTGGTAAGTGGATCCGTAAGTACTTACTCGGTACTTATGTGCTCAATGCTTTCAAAATGATTCTGGATTTTCTCCTTTACAACATATACCTTAGTGTCAATGTGTTTGACAGCACACTTGACTTATTGTCTTAGGAGTTAACCTGCTTTAAATGGTTATTGTTGTTGTCTACCATTGTTAAATCCAGGTACATATTTCCTAACCTCCTTTTGCCTGTTCCTTAAGCCTCATGACAAGCTATACTATGGTATGCATCACCGATGACACCACAACTGTTTCTTTGGAGCTTTTTCACAATAATACTCCAACCGCGAGTGTTAGCAACCGCTATGGATTTCACTACATATCTCGCCAAGACTTAACTTTTGTACCCTCAACTATTTGACAATTCTTATTCTTTCTTACTCAGCATGAGGCCTATAATACTTTGCAAAATCACAAGACATTATCAACTGCATTCCAGTGATCTATATCTGAACTGGACTTCTGTCAAAATATCCCGGATACATAAACTACGTCAGGGTAAGTTCTTACTTGTACTTCTACACACATCAAGCTTCCAACAGTTGAAGCATATGGAATCATATTCTTTTGATCGATCTCATATCGGTTCCTGAAACACTTAAAGTTCCCAAAACTATTATCCTTGACTATATAAGCAGGCGTAGGTTTACTCGCATGCATACTTTAATTCTTTAGAATCTTTTCTAAGTATGCATTTGCGATAGTCCTAATATCCTATTTTCTTCTATCTCGGTGAATTTTGATTCCTAGAACCAATGACACTTCACCAAGATCATTCACATTGAAACTTAGGGATAAAACTTCTTCTTCTCCAATGACAGATTAACATCACTACTAAGGAGTAGAATGTCATCTATTCACAGGATGTGGAAAATAAATTTTCCATTCTTGATGCTCGCATAAATGCTATCGTCCTTCTCATTTTCTATAAACCCAAACTTTCTTATCATTTCATCAACTTCGAATACTACTGTCTAGAGATTTACTTTTGACCCATAAATGGATTCCTACAGGTGGCATCACATATGTTCTTTTCTTCCATGACAAAACCTTTTGGGTTGTGCCATGTAATTATTTTTGATATAAATCCCCATTGAGGAGTGTCGTCTTTACATCCATCTGATGTAACTCTAAATCATAATGTGCCATTAATACCATTATGATTCTAAAAGAATCCTTACATAAGACTGGAGAGAAAACTCTCATTGTAATCTATTCATTCTCTTTTCTTAAAGCATATTGGCACAAGTCATGCTTTATATATTTCTACATTCTCTTTGGAGTCACATTTTATATTGTAGACCCATTAACAACCTACTGTTTTGGCTCCATTAGAAATTACTTCTAAGTCCCAAACATCGTTGGTACTCATCGAATTCATTTCAACTTTATAGCTTCTTACCATTTTAAACGAGTAAACGTTTTTCATGGCTTCTTCAAATGAGGTGGGATCACCCTCCATTTGAATTTCTTTACTAACATAGACTTTATAGTCATTGGAAAACTACTTTACTAATTTTTTGAGACTTTCTGGGTCCTCATCTACTGGCACTTTCATATGGGGCTGTTGTTGCTCTTCATTGCCGAGAGGCAATTTATTCTACAGGCTTCTGTATTACAAGATTCTTGTTTACATTATTCATCTTCAAAAAGTCAACAATAGGTGTTGTATAAGTCATACAACATCAACAGGTATTGAGAAATTCGTTGTTTTAAATCACTGAAGTGGGCACGTAGTCCCGCTTCTCTTCAAGTCTTAGGTCTCTACTTACCATGTTTCCCCAGATCTTCCCATCTTTTCTAAAGATAGTGTATCTTTAAATTTCTTATTTTGGGTTTAAGCCGTTAAAACCTCATATGACGCTTTAAGCCCCACCTTAACATCTTTGAGACTGACTACACTATTTTCCTGTCGAAACTTTAAAAAGTCTAGGAATTTAGCTACTTCTCTACGTAGGGGTATCATTGTTGTAACCGTTGTACTCCTCCAACGGTCTTTATGTCACTCTTAATGAAGAGTATCTTTCTTAATCGATCTTTATCTCACTCTTAATGAAGAGTATTTTTCTTAATTAATCTTAATCTCACTCTTAATGAAGAGTATTTTTCTTAATTGATCTTAATATCCCCCCCCTCGAAATATGGCATGAACTTTACTACCATAATTTTGATAACTATTCAGAAAGCCTGTAAACGAGGAGACATTTAAAACTTACTTCATTCACAAGATTGTGTCATGTAAACAAAGTTATTTCTCGATCCGTTTAGGAGTACACTTTCCTTAATTTACTTGAAGAATTCAACGAGGTTTTTCATTAGCAGTACTTTTGCATGTCACGCTTGCATCTTTTTTCTTATCCTTTGGTTAATATTGACCATGACGATGCATTTCTATTGTGCCAAGGTCAATACTAGGACATCATAAGAGCTACCCAAACTTCCCTCGCTATGCGGGATACGAAACATGTGAATCATCACAAAACTTCTCTCGCCATGCAGGATTGACTATCATAAGTACTATGCCAAAACTTCTCTCCTTACGGGATACATCTATACGAAAACTTAGCCATGACGACTAAAACATTTAGTTATACTTTATTTTCCAATTAAATCTTACCGTTGGTTCTAATTTAATTAGAAAATAGTAAACTAATAAAAAGACTGTCTTGAACTGGCTTGACTCAAGCATTTCCATTCACATACCCAGCATTGAAGCCCGTTGGCATGCAGCCGAGTGATCTCGTCGGTTAATATAAAATATACAATATGCTTTTGCATCAATTCAACTTCACTGTTGGGCAGAAAATAGAATTAATGCATAAAACTCATAAATTAACTTGAAATCCATATAACTACTCTTCAAAATTAAATTCTTCCGTTGATTCAAATTTAATTGGAAGATAATCAACACTTCAATGCAGCGGAAACATGTTACTAAAATACATTCTATTAGTTCAGGAATATTTCTGGATCCTTATCTATTTTGTGAAAAATTGACCATATTGGTGTGAAATTTATCAGAGATTTAAAACTTAAACTTGAACTCATTACAATATTGTCATCATCAACGTTGGTCAGAAAATAACAATACCATAATCTGACTTAAACAATACGGACTACTTCTCTAATTTTATTTTTTCGGCCAGTTCCAATTTAATTAGAGGATAAACATGATTATAATTTACTAAATATAATTACATTTCAAATCAAATTCTCCCGTTGGTTCAAATTTAATTAGAAGATAATAGACTTTAAACTTTG